CGAGGGGCGTAAAAAAGTCGGGGCCCGTCGGGCCCGGGCTGAAATGCAGGGCTCTAGCTCTGATCTAGCACACAGAAAACGATTTGACTGAAAATTTATCAGAAGAGATGAAAGAAAGATAGTGGTCATCTGCGCAATTCGGAAAAAGAGGCGGCTTTTCTGCATTAGGTATGTTTTTTTTACTCTTTGTACAGCAGTTATTGTTCATTCTAAATAAATGTTTTAATGTAGAATATGTGTTACATAAATACATGAAATGTAGAACATATAAAAAAGTGCTCGTGACTCGTCTGCCATGAATAAAACTGTTATAAATACAGTTATTTAGACTTTTCATGCAAAGGGTGGTGTACTGAACGATGATCTAGGCTGGAAATCAGAGAGCTGTGTGTACAAAACTCACAAGAGAAGATGCATAGATCTGCTAAATGACTGCTTGCATTCAAAATTTATCATTTTGTTTATCATACTCTTCTCCATTGAGTCATAAAATGCTCTCTCTATGTCAATCATTTTTTAACTTCTCACTCTGCTAACAACAGCCAGTCACACAGAGCCATGGGTTCACACATGACTGGCTCTCTTAGCCTTGGTTTGGTCTTTGCGTGGCTCTTTATCCCTGGTTTACCTTCTTCTGTCTCCATGGCTTATCTTCACAGGAATGTGGGATAGGCTGTGAGCCACTGCAATAGAACATGCACAAAGCCATTCATTACGATGGCTCTACTGATCATTCTAGTTAAATCTGCTAGAGCTATAGATGTAGTTGCTATGTATGTGCATGTGAGTGTGACCTAGACAGTGAGGCAATGTTTCATAGAAAGAGACAATTAAATTAGATGTTGTAAGGCGATTTTGACCATATTTTAAAATCTTGCACAGTTTCTGTTTTCATGATTAATGACAATAAGCAGAATTTGCTGAAAATGTACCCATGTTCAGGTCATCCAAGATGTAGATGGATTTGTTTCTTCATGGGAACAGATTTGGAGAAATTTTGCATTGCATTGCTCACCAGTGGATCATCTGCAGTAAATGGGTGCCGTCAGAATGAGAGTCCAAATAGTGGATAAAAACATCCCAATAGTCCACAAATAATCTACATGACTCCAGTCGATCAATAAATGTCTTGTAAAGTGGAAAACTGCATGTTTGTAAGAGATAAATCCATCATCAAAATCCACCAACATATTTGTTTAGAACTTTTTTTGGACTGTTTTCACTCGTAAACGAAGCTTGTTCTGTGCATATTTCTCTCCTGATTCAGACGAGAACAGCATGAAAAGCAGGATAGAGGACTCATATTTTGGTCAGAAGCAACAATTTGAAGTTCAAACACATTATTGTTGGATTTGCTTTTTACAAACATGCAGCTTTTCACTTCATAAGTTATTTTCTCTTCACAAGTCACAGTGATTGATGACTAGAGTCGTGTGGATTACTTGTGGGTTACTGTAATGTTTTTATCAGCTGCTTAGACTCTCATTCTGATGGCACCCATTCACAGCAGAGGATCCGTTGGTGAGCAAGTGATCACAAAAAAAATTTACATTTGCCAAATATCTCCAAATCTGTTCCCGTGAACAAACAAACTCATCTACATCTTGGATGACCTGAGGGTGAGTACATTTTTGTCAAATTTTCATTTTTGGGTGAACTATTCCTTTAAGGTTTAGACTATGAAACTAGTCAATAAAACAAAACAAAACAAAACTAACATGTGAAACAATATTGTCTCAACAAAATGATACTAGATACTGTAAATACGATATATTGCTATTTTAGTTACTTTGTTGAATGATGTTCAATGCATTTTTTTCAGTGTTATGTTAATGAAAGCCAGTAGTATCCTGAAGCCAGTTAGCTCAAGAATCTCATGGGATATTTAAATTTATGAGTTTATTTAAAACGCCTGTGCCTTTTGTTAATATAAATAACCAATGACATTTCTGAAACCCAAGGGACAATTCCCATGAAATGTTTAAATAACAAATTTGTTTAATCTTTTTGAGCATAAAGAGAAAAGGGAACTTCTTGGCACGCACAGCAGAAATGCTGAGATCTTCCAAGTAGAATTTCTCCTTCACATCATGGGTGAAATGGCTCACAGGCAGTGAAAGATACAGGCCAGTCTGCCAGGGGCAGTTAGTGTTTATGCAAGACAAATGTCTCTAGCTATTCTGTGTATTTCCCTCAATTGTCTCAACTTGTAGAGGGATTTATACTTTGCACTGCTTGGGCAATCCTTTGCCCTACAGGAAAAATCCATACTCTTCTTTTTTTGATAAGTAGAATTTACTTGACCGAGAGTGTTTATTTTACCATTTGTTAGTATAATATTTATAACAGATTTTCTGTCAAATACTAGAAAAAAAATAGGCAGCTGTTACCATAAGGAACTACATGATTTAACCCTTAAAATTATTTAGTTGGTGTAACCTAATGTATTCTGTTTTAGTGATATAAAATCATATTATTGACCTGAATAAAACTAGCTAATTTAGATATTACCTCATGAATGACATATCTGGCGAAACTTTCAGTGCACTGTAAAAAAAAAAGAAGAAGAAGTAATTTTAATGAAAAAGGTACTGATTAACTGTAAGTTACATTACGGTAAAATTATATTGTTCTTTAAAAGACAGTAAATTCAATTTCACTGTAAAATATTGTTTAAAGTTTAATCAAATAAGAGAGGAACGCTGGTAACACTGACCTAGAAACACATGTGCTTGTGAGCAGGTCTCACATGAAAGCTGAAACCAAATCCGTCTGTGGCTCGGATAGGTGAGAAATGCCGACTACAAGAACGATCTCTTCATGTTCGAATTAAAAAAAAAAACTTCACATTTCAAAAGCTGGACTTGAATCCCACTGGATTCCGGGGCGGATGAAACTGAGCCCAGATAGCAAGAACGTTTGGGCCAAATGTGGCTGATAGCTGTCACATTTGGCCTAGGCATGGCATGACCAAAGGAAATTTGCTGACTGGGAGGTCTTTATTTATTACGTAGCGCAAATAATAAGGACGTGATTAAATTCGTTTCGATGGCCGTGCGCTCGCCCCTTTTGCTTGCATCACACTCTCGGAGGAGCCCGCGCCTGGGAGCTGTCCCAGACAACATGGTGCTGAAACCGCAGCGAGAGCGAGCGAGCATCCTCCGGCTTTACAGATGATTATCATTACAACTCGTGTTAGAACTGCACAACGCCTATCTTCGCATGAACCGTAACGCTTTGGATTACCAAGCAGGAGCCACTTCAGTATTTTGCCAGCAATTTGATTCTAAGGAAAGGCACTGGATGTGACAAAACGACGGACTGTGGATGGCAAAAATATTTCCTCATCGTCGAAAGCGAATCTGTTTCTTCTCTGGACTGATTTTCGAAGGACATGTCTGACAATACACGGGACAGTGAGCTAAACTGCCTTGGGATTTCTGCAACAAGGGTTGGGTGTTTATGGAGATAGACTGCCTGTACTAACAAGACGTTGGCACCTTATATCTTTCAGAAGGGGACTTGTGCGGGATGCATTTGTAAGCGGTCGGACCTGAAACATGAGATGAACGCCAATGACAATTGCTGGCCAATTGGCAAGATTGTGGCTGAATTTCGTTTCACGCAACACGATTTGCATTCACATTAACACAATTATACTGTAGTCGCTTTTGGATGATGGCTAATAAGCGAGGACGATGTGATGTGATATGGATAACAGAAATTGTGTACTGTGTGTGTATGGTAGACTTCCAGTTGTTTAATTAAAGACAAACCAAGGCTGCCATTTATTTGGCTCTGCTGACGAATAGCCTGCATTTCTGTTTTCGTGCTTTTGATGAATAGATGCCACTGACAAGAGTACCTCAGGGTAGCAGCACTTTTGTCAGAACCTGTTCGCGGGAATCCCCGATATTTTTCATTCAATTCGGGTTATTTGTCCGCAGGTTCGTGTTCGAATGTTCGATTTGAGTATATTTGAGTATAAGGCCAGTTGTTGCAAACGCCCTCAGTCCCAGTAAACTGTTTAGTCAGGTATCCTAAAATGTGTTTAATGTGGTAACATCCGAATGAACTAGTTTTACTGAGGTACTCAAGATCAGAACAGGGTTACTAAAGGTAACAACTGCACGTTACCACATTTGACAGCTATTATTAGGCTACATGTGCTTACAATCGTCAGCTTCTCAATGGAAACACGAGCGCGAGGACTCGCTCATATGATGTAGCTCTTAGAATAACTGTTGAAAATAAACATTTTCTCTATGTTCAAACGGTCGGTGAGGGTTAGCAGAAAGCGGTGTTCTCACGGGACTGAACCGGCAGCACAGTTGTTTTTCCTCGTTGGAAACCAAACAGTAAGTTATGTTATGTGACCTGCTGGAGTCCAGTAACAGATAGCCTTAGCATTATAGGCCGTTTAAAAACATAGACCGCCTTTCCATTATTCATAAGACGGGCACATGTTGTTGGCTGTCGGTGTCATTGTATGGTGTTGGGGATTGTTGGGTCGCAGACCGATGCTGCGCCGCCAGGGCAAGCAGAAAGGCCGCTGTTGCGTCTTGTTCAGTGACCTGAAGGTTTTCCTACTCAGGCCACCGGCACCGTCGGCATCGCCACCTGCCTTCACACCCATGAACGAACTAAACGCGGAGGGCAATGCGACGAGCAGCGCCACGGAGAGCCACTCTTTAGCCAACGGACATTATCAGCCGGTAACAGGTGAGGCTTTGGACACACGAGGGCCCGAAGACTGGACTCATAGCGAAGTGGATCCGCCGAGGACTCTGGACTGTTGCAGCTCATCTGAGGATTGCTCTAAGGAGAAGCTGGACGAGAGGTTATCTCTGAACAGCTGCACGGACAGTGGAGTCAGGACTCCGTTATGTCGGATCTGTTTTCAGGGCCCAGAACAGGTAGGGACTCCACGTGCTGCTACACTTTTTGGGGGCTTGCTGAATGAATGTCGATTGTTTATTGCACATATTTGCTCCATATACTACATGCTACACTGTGAAAATTCCATCTACGGCCTTAGTGGTGCCAAAGTGACAACCTGCAGTGACAAGTTCATTGCACTTTTAAGACCACTTTGAAAGTAATTACTAATGAAGAAAATCGAGCAGAAACTCTGAAAGCTGAAGAAGAATGACTGCAATTATTGTTTCACATTAAATGGATGAAAACAAAGATTTTGTTACAATATAATAGAACATTTTCACAGGCAATTACACTGCCTGAATGTCTCTATACATACAATGGACTCAAAAGTATTTGGACACTTAATCCTAAACCAAAATATATGTATGAAATTGCATTACATGATAAATGATCAAGACAAGAGACAAGAGAACAAAGAAGTGCACTTTAAAAAAAAAAAAAAAAAAAATCAATTGATATTCGAAATGGGGCAGAAACTATTGCTTAAGTCACACTTAAAAATGTATAAACTCATTTATTTTAAAGACAGAAAGCACAAACACACTTTTCTAGTAACATTTCACTATAAAAGATGTACTGTTCAAAATGTATAATTCAATTGCAGTACATAATGTAATATTAAATCAATAGCATTTATTTTGCAAAAAGATAGCACAAGCACATTTTAAAAAACAGTATCTCATAAAAGATTTTTTTATATGATAAAACAGTAGGTAGTACTGTTCAAAACTAATGCAAATGCATTTGAATACTTTCTTTGTGGACACTTAGTTGAAAATGTTCATAGTTAAAGGGATAGTTCACCCGAAAGCAAATATTTCATCCTTGTTTATCTATACTGTACCAAATCTGTATGACTTCCTTTCTTCTGCAGAACAAAAAACAAGATATTTCAAATAACTTTTTTTTTTCAATCAAAAAAGTCAGTAGGTTCCAAACAACATTGGATCCCATTGACTTTCATTGAATGGATAAAAAAGCACACACATTTTCAAAATATATTTAATTTTTTTTTTTTAATTTCCACACAAGAAAAAGGTCAGATCTGACATCATAAATAACAATCTGACTTCATAAATATAATCATCAAAAGTGCAGTTTGCAAAACCAATGGGAAAAAATGAAAAGTGGAGTTTTGAGAAAAGCACTCAGCTCTAGCAATGAATTTCTTCCCATTACACTTGATATTTTGTTATCCAAATGTGTCTGGATACTGCATGTGAGATTCCACATCATTGCAGCTGTTCTTGAAGTGATTTGTCCCATAAATCTAACTGTTACTCAGCCCCAGTGGTTTTATGACAGTGGCATTTATCCACCGCTAGGTGATTTGTTCTAATGGAATGCACCACATGACTGAAAGGTCAAGGGTTTGAACACAGAACATTGATCTAAGATTGAGCAGAACATTATATGAATGGCATACGGACACCTCTGTTGACCGGTTTGATATTTGCCCTTGTTTCATCTGTTTGTTTCGAGATCATATGCTGTAACATAGTTTTGCATTTTTAGTATTAAAGAGTTTATCGCTCTGTCCTCTCCACAGGCCAATTTAGCCTGTAAATGCATGTGAAATTGTTTTATTTTCTCTTTCTCTCCCCCTCGTTCGATCATTCTCTCTCCGTTGTTTCCTGTCTCTCTCCTTTTCACTTTCCCCATGCACGTCTATTTCTCTTTCCTCTTTCCATTAATGTGGGCTGTGGCAGAGTTCTGTGGCTGCGGGCTGATGGATGGGCCTGTGAGTGTAATGAGAGCTGTGCAGAGAGCAGATGGGACTGAGGAGATTCTCTTCGCTCTGACTGAGTCCAATCCAGACACACACTCCCTCTCTTTCTCACTCTCCTCTCCACTGCATGCTTTGACTTTCTCCAGCTGCCTCTCCCTTTTTCTTTCACTTTCAGAACCCCAAGTAGTAGATAAGGAAGGTCTCCTGTTCCATAAAGCCAACAGGGAGGGCGAGAAGGATCCTTCTCTTGTGTACACAGAACACACAGGAACAATCACAAGCTTGGGAAACGAAATAATAGTTTTCTCTTTCTTCACTTGTCCTCTTGTTCTCTCTCACCCAAAAAAACACTGAGGAAAAAATGCAGTGGACCTCCTATGGTCTAATTTTAATCAGTGTGAAAACAAGAAATGGATCGTCACAGACGCTGGAGGTGATTTGAGTAGCATAACTCTTTTTCACACCCTGTTGTGAGAAGCCACTTATGTGGACATCATTTCATCTTCATCAGAGAGAATAATTGGGCAACATGTCCATGTTATTGGACATGACACAGACTAAATCATTAATTTAGTGTAGCATTATTAAATTGCATGAAGTGGGCATGTGACTTCTTGAATGCAAAAGAATATTCCACTCTTTGTGGTGGTGTTCATGTGTGATCATCTCGTAAAATACAATCTTTCTGACATTATTTGAACAAACTGACTGCCAAGTGTGACACTGCAGAAATATAAATTAACAAAACGCCCTGTGACAATGCCAATAAAGTGACATTTCTGGCCAAATTTTGCCCAAAGTAGTCTGGTCTCATTTTAACTAGACCAAAGTTAAACATATATATCACTATTTATTATGTTGTTTACTAAATCAAAGAAATCTAAAGGGTATTTGTAGAATAAAACATGTGGTGGTGGGGGGGTTAGGTGAGAAAGAACTCTTTGTCTTCCATACCAGCCTCTTCTAAATGTTCTCACATTCTTTCCTACTTTTCCATTTGCTCTTTCTCTCTCTTTCAGAATTACTGTTCAGTGCTTTGGTGCTGTAGAATGCTGACGATGTAAAATCCCTGTGTGACCCACATTAATATGTCATTCACATGAAACATGGTCACATCAGTGTTACCAGAAGCAATATAAAAGCTTTAATTTACAGTATTTTGAAAATGTTGTTAATATACAGAAGTGAAAAACAGCTGAAACTGACATAGTCAGCATGACTCAAATTCCTTTTAAAGAATTGAATGCACAAACAACAGTACATGTAGAACAGTGTGGCCATGCTGTGCCTTTGTGTCACCCCAATATGAGAGTCATAATGTCTGTGCCAGAATAAACCCATTGCGAGGTCTGGCCAATAGGGAACACCAGGACTTGTCTCAGTGGGCCGGTCAAATTGTGGGTCAGTTGTCGAAACCAATTTAAACATACAATCATTAAAAATGAAGAAAAGTTCTGGTATTCCCATGAAAAGGTTGTTATTACATATTAGCAGTCTTATTGTGAATGAATCATTTGTACACGCACATATATATTTTTCACAATCCAATCAATCACCAATGAATAAAATCAAGTCTTGCCCTTATATTTGGAAATATGCCAGTTTCATGCCAGTTTCATGCCAGTTTCATGCCAGTTTCGACTTCAAGCCACATGTTGCTATAATTTAAGTCGATTCTTTACAATGTAAAACAGCAAAATATAGTCAATAGGCCTAAATATCAACTAGATTCAGTTCCCTTCAGAAGTTTGGAAAACACTAGGCAAAGTGGAGTATTGGACAGTATCACCTTAAATCATTATTTTTTGGAGTAAATGCATTGGAAAAACTTTTAATTATCATTGCAGATTTTCTTTTTGATTAGTGTAGACTGAGTACATTCTTCAAAAAAAAAAACATGCTTCAGATTTTCCATGTAGAGAAAGAATGCTGATGTAAATGTGCACACGGATGATGACAGTTTGAGCTTGCATGAGAAATATAAATTTTTTTACAACTGTACTCCATTAAAGCTGTACTCTACATAACAATGGCAGTACAGGTTACTGTGAGACATGCCCCTCAGACAACTGTGATGTCTGATTAGTGGATTAAACTTGGACTATGTTTAATTTTTTTAAAGAGTCAGCACACCTTTAAGTAATATCACACTGACAACAGTGTTGATGATCATGCCGAATGCTGTTTCGTGATCCGACTATAGGCAATCACAACCATGCAGTAACAACAGTTGAGTATTCAAGAAGTTGATTTTCGAGAAACTTACCATTACATGGACTATTGCCAGTTACTTTGTCATGATGTGGGGGAAAACAAGATATCATTGCCACAAATTAAGAATTTGTTACAATTCTAAAAAGAAGGCTAAAAAGAATCACTTAACATTTGCATTGCAGTATGCTTTTAGAAAGCACATTACACACAGTCCAATGCAAAAAGCATGAGAACTGCACTTCTCTCATTCTCACTGTCTCACTTTTTCACCACCCTTCAAGTATGCTAATAACAGGAAATACGATTTATTTTATCGCCGCTCAGGGTTGTTTACAAGGATTCTCTCTTTCATTTCTCTCCCTCTCACTCTGGCCTAGGCTTGCTGTCTCTTTTCCTGTTTCTCTTTTCCTTGTTTTCTGTCCCTTCGTGCCTCTTTAACTCACAAAGTCGTGCATAGGTAGTGCATCTTTCTCATTATAAAACACACTGCTCGGTTCTTACTGAGGGCTCGTTTCTTTCTGCTCCCATGAATCGGCTGCTGTGTAATGCTGACCTAACATCCAGCGCAATTAATTGAGGCTGCGCTCACCGCCAAGGGCTGTTAGGGGTTATGTATAAAGGATCAGCCATTCAGATTTTATTGATAGTTCTGCTTTAATACCACAATTAGATAAAGTGGCCTCTTCTCCCACTCTGACGAGTCGTACTCTGATCTCCCATCACACATCTCTGCTGCACAACGTATCATTAAAACCACAAACCATCGGTGATTATGTATAATTAATGTAGAAAAAATCAAGTGAATCTGAATTTACTCGGCAAATGGATGTACATTCAATTCCAAAATCTCCACGTCCTCGGATTAGACTCATAATAATGCATGTCAAATGAAATCAGAGGAACTTTACTCTGGGAATTATCCGCATTCAGTTTTCAATGCCCTGCAGTATGGATATTTGATCACTGATGAATCAGTCGAGTGAATCTGAATAGCAGTGTCCGTATTTGATACAGGTTTCATAACTGTGGAAC